ATTGTTGGAAGAAATTGGAGATTGATGGTTCAGTTATGGAAAGTTCCAGTTGTCATGAAATCTCCAACGTACAGAATTCGGATTTGGCGCCAATCAATAGGAAGCATCTTTCAACGTCATCTTCCTGTTGTGTCTATTTAAGGGATTCTGATTCTTTTTTTGAAGTAACTTTGATCAGGCGAAGGTAGAAAGCGGTATAGGGCTTTTTGGAATCAAAGGGCTTGTCTGTGCTGGGGTGTAGGTTCTGAACAGACAAGGCTGTAAGGGAATTTAAGTGATTCTGGATTTGGAATCACGACTGCTCGATTTCTGTGTGTTTAGCATTGTTTTCTCTTCTCTAATAAACTCTCCCGAAGACAGCAAACCCTGATCTTTGGGATGTGGACGTAGTAGCTATTGCACATGGGTGAACCACATTAAAAAAAACTTCGCGTCTCTTTACCTTTCTGCAATCTCGTTTTAATTCTTCTGTCTTCTTGAGCTTCTGTTCGTGCTCTGTTTCTTCACCTGCTCTGTTTTGATAAAGAACAGTTGAAAGAAGAAGAAGATAGAAACAGTTGGGCCTTGTCTTGGGCCAACCATTTATTCTGATCTTTGTTCGTATTAATTATTTGGGCCCGTTCCTTGAAAGCCCAATGGAAGTGCCAAGATAGAAAACTCTTCGCAAGATCAATGGTTTGTCTGTCTTCTTTGTTCATTCCCTTTGATTGTTCTTTCCAGTTCACTTCAAATTCCTAATTGAGTCCACCCTGATTCCTTTTACATATATATACATATAGCAAGAGTTTAGAAAAATCTAATGATAAACCTAATAGAGTAATATTTTTCGCACCCTAATCTGCCGCCCAGCCCCAAATAATAGCAACAATTTAATAAAAATATATTATTAATGGGAAAAGGTAGGTTTCTATCATAGGTGTGTTATAAGCATTTGGTTTGCTTTATTTACTATTTGGAAAATTTGTTGGTTTTGATAGAACGAATTGTTCGGTTTTCATATTCTGTAATTGTCGAGACTTCTTATTAAGCAAAATACAGGGCCAATGCTACGGTGCCGCTCTAAAAAGTGCGGCATAGGTGCCACTGCGTCTGATTGGGCCACATGGAGCTTACGATGCATGAGCTGGCTTTAATTGACCCAAGCCCAAATTCCATGAGTACTGGGTACAGGAACCAACCCGACCCTTCCATTCAAACTGAAAATCCTTCTCCGTCAAACCCCAAACGATTCCATTTTCTTTTTGCCCGATTGTCGTTATATCTTTTATTAATTAGATGTAATTATTTTGTTTTCCAGAAGATTGAGAAAACTGAAAACCAGGGGACGACAACGGACTATCCGAAAGGATGTTCGTTGATCTCCTTCTCCGCCGTTCTCCCAAAATCGCGCCGGTGACTTGCTCGCGGCCGATCCCATCTCCGGCGTTCTTCCAAAATCACGCTAGTGAATTGTTTGTGGCCGATCCCATCTGCAAATTATCCCGGTGAGTTGTTAATAGGCAAAGAAATCTGTATCTTCGCGGGCCTCTGTCACCATCAAAGAAGATGCTCCTCAGGTTTTCTTTCCGCTCTTTTTTTATTCAAGTTAAAACTCAAATATCAAATCAATTTAAAATTAATTAATGTGAATAAAAAAAATTGAAAACGGTTGTGTGAAACATAGGTGCTTCCATCTGTTGGGTACGACTTCGGTTCGGGCCAATTCCAATGGGTCGGTAGGCTTTGGGCTCGAAATAAATAAACCAGCCCAGCCACGTCAACTCCCTGCGGACCAATAGAAAACAGCGTCACCGATGCCGCACTTTTTAGAGCGACACCTTCGCATTGGCCAAAATACATAACATAATTATCTAAACAACATATCTTTCCTTTTTCTCTCTCTCTAGTCTAATTCCTCTCTCCTTTTCTCTCTGCGTCTATCCACTCCCCAAACCCGACTTCTCTCTTCTTCCTTCCTTCTCAATTCCCTCATCTTTGTTAAATTTTAATCTCTAGTTTCTATCAAATTGCTAATCACAGATCAATTTTAATCTCAAAACTCTAGACAAAGAAAAGGTTAAATTAGAAGTGTTACGTAATGATAGTTATTTCTTACGTAACAGTTAAATTAGAAGTGTTCGTAAGCCTTCCACAATGATTCAACATATTACGTAACGAAAGGTTAATATTTATTATGTAAAATGAGTGTCTATTACATAAGGTTTGCGTAATGACATTTTTCAACTATTACGTAAGATAAACACACATTACGTAACCATTACGTAATGCCTATTGTATTTTACGTAATGCGACTTGTGAAACCTGTTATAGCAAGTCAAAAACACTAAATGACCATAACTTCAAGGTATTGTAGGAATTTCCTCTATTCAAGTATCTTTTTTTCCTTTAATCTCTAATTTCTATCAAATTGCTAATCACATAAAGATACAAGTTCAAGTTGTACCGTAAAAGAATTTGCACAAAAAGTATAGGTACAATTTGAAGTTGTACCATAATGTTAAAGGTACAGTTTCAATGCTATAAAGACAAAAACCCATAGCACAAATGCTATCTAGCATTGTAAAATTCCTCTTATTGTGATTTATTGGGTCTATAAATTTGTGGTGAAAAAAGTTTCTAAGACCAATCCTATTTGTTTTTACTTTCCATTGATCGTTTGAACAGTGCCCAGAAAGTTTGATTCAGAACATTTCAAGCCCTAAGGTGGGAAAGGGCTGGCCTATGTTTGATTCCCTCCATCTCAGTGCCCAATCTCTCGTTAAGCAACCAAAACAAACAGTTAGCAACATGGAATGCTTGATCAGGTTATATCCACATAATTGTGTTACCAATCCTATTCGTTTTGCTGTAATAGCATTTCATCTAAAGCATGATAGATCTTTGCAGTGGAGGGATGCAACGTTCCACCAGCTACAAACTCATGTACTTTGCCATTCAGTTCAATCAAACTACACCCAGGAACTTTCTCAATCTGCTTTTGTTTGAGAACAACTCTCTGCTCGATAGCTTTCTGGTACCTACCAGAGGAAGCATAAACATTGGACATGAGCACGAAACTCGAAGTTTGGCTTGGATCCAGCTCATTGAGCTGCCTTGCTGCTCTTTCCGCCATCTCAGCGTACCCAAATCTTGTGATGGAAGATAGCAAAGATCCCCATATGATGGCATCTGGAGGAATTGGCATTCCTTTGATGAGCTCTTCTGGCTCTTCCAGAAACCCAGTTCCGCCGAGCACATCAACCATACAGCTATAATGCTGTACTGAGGGTTTGATATTGTAAGTTTCTGTCATCAGTGAGAAATACTCCTTTACCGAGTCCACCAAGCCAGAGTGATTACAAGCTGTCAAGACCCCGATGAAACTGACGAAATCGGGATCCAAAGACGAGGATGATTCAAGCTTCCTGAATAGATTGATCGCTTTCTTCTCCTGACTATTCGTGGCCAGGCCTAGGATCATGGAGTTCCAGCATGACAATCTGATGACTCGGTATTTGCACATGTTTTCCCCTTTGTTTCTTGATTGTTTGAACTTGAATTATTGCGTCTTTGTCTTATTTTATGCTAGGTTGTGTTCCTTTGTCACATTTCAGGTCCTAGCACATAAAGTGAAGCATAGGCGCAAGTTTCAAATCAATCAGAGATCAATTGACGATTCGGGAGAAGAAACTCGGGCATGACCTGAAGAAGAATGGATTTCTACCTCACTTTATGGACAAAGAATCATGCAAGCTTGTCATGAAAAGAAAGAGGACGAGACTACGAGCGTCTGGGATCAAACGGGGAGTGATTCGGAGTCCGGACGAGGGAGAAACGAAGCATTAAACAGAGGCTGAGCAAGCCACACGGGCACGACCCACACGGCCGTGTGAACTGGCCATGTGGCCGTGTGGAAATCACCGAGCCTTCACACGGGCAGCTGGGAAAGCCACACGGCCGTGTGGCCTGGCCGCGTGATCGGGAATTTCTGTTTAAAACTCGATTTTCAGCCAAAGGAAAGGGGAGAGCTGGGTTTTGGTTCCCAAACACCCAAGGGACAAACCCTAGAGAGAGAGAGCGACTTGGGAACATTCTTGGAGCTATTTTGGAGGATTTCTTCTCCATTGAAACTCGGGAATCAAGCTTGGAGATGGAGATTGAAGATCTAGATCAGATTTCTGCAGTCTCTCTCTTCTCTATGGAGTAACTCCCCTTCACTTAGGTTTTGAGGAACCCTAGTTCCATGTGTTAGGATCTTTCTTGTATGAAGTTTTGGATGCTATATTGTTTAATTATAATCGATTGAGGCATGATTTATTGAGTCAATTGAATCTTGATCAAATTCTCTTGATTTCTGCTTTAACCTATGATAGATAGAATCTGATTAGGTTAAGAGAGCTTCCTTGATTGATGGTGGTGAATTGGTTATACGAGAGTTAGTCAATCTACTGCTTTGTACTGGAATCCAATTCCGGTAGTGGAGTTCTGTGTTCATAGCCTCAGCTTTCTATCCCGGTGAAGGTTAGTCGCCTGCTGGGTAGTTGGACTGAGAGGGCTTGGTCAGCTTAAGAGATTCCAAGCTACTGTCGGATCTTCCGCAGTTTAATCAACAGTAGATCAACCAAAGGTAATTGCAACTTGGACCTGATTGAGGAGCTAGGGGGAATCATACCTAAGTGAGTTCACAACTTGTAATTAGTAGAGTAGTCAGTAGAGTAGTTTATAAATCAATCCTTAATTTAGTTTGCTAGATAATGAACTGAAGCTGAGTAATAGTAACTCTAGAGACCCGTGGATTCGATATATATTACTTGTGCCACTATACTGCAGTCCCTTTCATTGGTTACACTTGGCCATTGTTAGGTGTTGTGTCGTAGCGAGTCAAGTTTTTGGCGCCGTTGCCGGGGACTTTCTAGATTATTAGGAAAGGCAGAAGTTTGTTACTTTAGCGTTTTTCTTTTGTTTTCCGCCCTTGCTTTTCACTTTGGTGTTTTTTGTTTTTGTTGGTGCAGATTTGAATCATGGAACCTCATGGCTTCTCCAACCATTGGGGGTATCCACCACCATCCGAGTGGTATTACCCCGAGACCCCCTGGAGCAATCAAGGAGGAGAAGACTATGGATTCGGGTTCCAGTACAAACCCCCTTACTATGGTGAACAATCAGACCCCTGGGCATATCAAGAACAACCTCATTACCAAGAAGACTTTCTCCCACAACCAGAAGGGCCATCGGAGCTGGAGTTACACATGGCGGCCTTCACGGGCCACTCTGCAGAGCCATGCTACACTTCACTCGAAGATCCGAACAAACAATTAAGGCTTCTCGTGGAGCAGTTTGCTCGAGACACTGAGAGATCATGCTCCAAGATGGATCTTTAAATCAAAGCCCTTGACCCTTCTGATCCCTCATTTCTCCATGATATGGAGGAGACTGTTCAGCGCTCAGCGAAGCAAACAGAGTGGGTGGAGCAAGTTTGCTCACATCTTGCTCAAGATCACCTTTCTGCTACCACGCTAGAAGAGGTGGAGGATGACAAAGGCTACGGGGATGTTGAGGAGCATACAGAAGTTATCACAGAGAACTCCCATGATAATCATGATTAGGAAAGTCCTCTGGTTGCAGATCACACCTTTCCTTATTTCTGCTCTAACATGTTGGGCCCGAGCGAGGAGATGCAAGATGATCTCATTGAAGAAATTACATGGCGACTTGCTCTCCAATCTGTGCTAGAAGAAGAAGAGCAAGAAAGGGTGCAGAAAGAAGTTGTGGAGGATGACGAAAGTGAAGCAGGAGGAGTTCTTGATCATTTTCCCAGGGGTGATACCACATGAAGAAGAAAGGGAGGTTGAAGAAGCAATTGGCGTCCAGGCTGAGGACGGAGTTGAGGTAGAAGAGGCTTGCACCGGCCCTATAATACAAGTAATATACCCACCAAACTTCGAGGACCTGCTTAGCAAGGACCCATTTGCAGTGTCTCTTTGCCAGACCAAGGCCACATCGACATCGGTCCCTCTTGGTGGACACGATGGTGGCCAATCGATGCTGTCATATCTGGTTTGGGGCAATGGGACGAGAGAAGAGAAGAAGAGGTCTCGAGGGTGGAGACGTTATCTACATCAAGTGCACGAGCTTCCATCACCTGTCATACCACATGCTCGTGACTTGCGACTCCACCTCATTGACGAGAACCTCAACTTCAAGGAGGTTCTAGCATGGACCGAAACTTAGGAGCCATCGTCTGGCTCACGACGTGAAAGAAGCGCTTGTTGGGAGGCAACCCAACCAGTCGGTTTGCATTTCTTTCTCTATTTCTCCTTGGTTGAGTCAGTTTTGTTATTTGATTTTAGAGTCAATAACTCAACCTTTGTGAGATTTTGTGTGGTGTTTGCGTTCTGATTACTCTCTCTTCCTGGAATGCACCGCCTGACCCGTCCATCATCATTCATCCTTGATCTGGTAACTTCGTTCTACCCTCCTTATCTTTCCTCCATTGAGGACAATGTCGTGCTTAAGTGTGGGGGGAATGTTCTATTATGTATGAGGGTGAATGTTCGGCTGTTTGTGTGCTTGGAGCCTAGTCCACTGTCCAAATTTCGATTCGAGGGCTCCAAGTACGTGTTTCCATGCAAATTGACTACTCAGTATGCTTTGAATTGACAGACTCTATAGTAATGTGCAACCTGGGGAGGTAGTGTAGCACTATGGAGGATGTTGAAGTACAAGATTTTTCCTATCTAGCTCTCTGTTGTGCTAGTTGATTTTGTGAAGTAGTGGAGCTAAGACCGTTGAATTCATTTGGTAATGGTGACTCTGTTTGGATTGTGTTTTGGACTCGTGTATCGAACAGGGTGCTCATATGGAAAATGGGAAGCAGTTGGTCCTCCATGTCGAAATCATTGAAATCTTAAACATGGGGTAAGCCCAACGTGTGTGGCACCGTTCATTGCACAAAATCGGGTTTTGGAAGAGATTTTAGTGATCCTTAGTGGGGTACTCCTACAAGGTGAAGCTAAGCTGTCTCTAGTACAAGTAAAATTTTCACCCGTTGAACGGTTTGCCTACTTGATGATGTGTTTTTAAGGGTACGGATAGAGCTTCCGACCCCCTTTGATTTCATTGACCCTCCACACGAGTTGAGGAAAAGGAGTTAAAAGAAGTACTCTGGCGAGCGCCAGATGTACAGAAATTGCTCTTGCTCGACTAATAAGGGTCGACCGTGCAAAAGACTGCAGTTGGAACCCCTGCTAAGTGAAAGAAAAAAAAAACAAGAGAAATGTAAATGAAAGTGCAAAAAGGGGTTCCAACGGTGAAATGAAGTGAAAGAGCACCCCGGTACAACGAGTCCTTGGTTGTGAATGGTGTGAGTCCCTTTGTCCATGAACTGACTATCTTACTTCTACTTCTTCTCATGTTCCTGGCTTGAGTCTAGTACTCGCATTGAGAGAGATAGGGGACGTCTTAAAAGACCAGTTGACCTCGTAAGCTGCTATATGATCTAGGAAATCCCGTACCGACGATCGGGGTTGTTTGTTGCTATAGAGGTCTGGAGAGCTGCATTGGTTTGAGTTAGGTTTGCTTGGGGACAAGCAAACAGTTAAGTGTGGGGGGATTTGATGACTCGATATTTGCACATGTTTTCCCCTTTGTTTCTTGATTGTTTGAGCTTGAATTATTGCGTCTTTGTCCTATTTTATGCTAGGTTGTGTTCCTTTGTAACATTTCAGGACCTAGCACATAAAGTGAAGCATAGGCGCAAGTTTTAAATCAATCAGAGATCAATTGACAATTCGGGAGAAGAAACTCGGGCATGACCTGAAGAAGAATGGATTTCTACCTCACTTTATGGAAAAAGAATCATGCAAGCTTGTCCTGAAAAGAAAGGGGACGAGACTACGAGCGTCTGGGATCAAACGGGGACTGATTCGGAGTCCGGACGAGGGAGAAACAAAGCATTAAACAGAGGCTGAGCAAGCCACACGGGCACGACCCACACGGCCGTGTGAACTGGCCATGTGGCCGTGTGGAAATCACCGAGCCTTCACACGGGCAGCTAGGAAAGCCACACGGCCGTGTGGCCTGGCCGCGTGATCGGGAATTTCTGTTTAAAACTCGATTTTCAGCCAAAGGAAAGGGGAGAGCTGGGTTTTGGTTCCCAAACACCCAAGGGACAAACCCTAGAGAGAGAGAGAGCGACTTGGGAACATTCTTGGAGCTATTTTGGAGGATTTTTTCGCCATTGGAGCTCGGGAATCAAGCTTGGAGATGGAGATTGAAGATCTAGATCAGATTTCTGCAGTCTCTCTCTTCTCTATGGAGTAACTTCCCTTCACTTAGGTATTGAGGAACTCTAGTTCCATGTGTTAGGATCTTTCTTGTATGAAGTTTTGGATGCTATATTGTTTAACTATAATCGATTGAGGCATGATTTATTGAGTCAATTGAATCTTGATCAAATTCTCTTGATTTATGCTTTAACCTATGATAGATAGAATCTGATTAGGTTAAGAGAGCTTCCTTGATTGATGGTGGTGAATTAGTTATACGAGAGTTAGTCAATCTACTGCTTTGTACTGGAATCCAATTCCGGTAGTGGAGTTCTGTGTTCATAGCCTCAGCTTTCTATCCCGGTGAAGGTTAGTCGCCTGCCGGGTAGTTGGACTGAGAGGGCTTGGTCAGCTTAAGAGATTCCAAACTACTGTCGGATCTTCCGCAGTTTAATCAACAGTAGATCAACCAAAGGTAATTGCAACTTGGACCTAATTGAGGAGCTAGGGGGAATCATACCTAAGTGAGTTCACAACTTGTAATTAGTAGAGTAGTCAGTATAGTAGTTTATAAATCAATCCTTAATCTAGTTTGCTAGATAATGAACTAAAGCTGAGTAATAGTAACTCTAGAGACCCGTGGATTCGATATATATTACTTGTGCCACTATACTGCAGTCCCTTTCATTGGTTACACTTGGCCATTGTGTCGTAGCGAGTCACAATCCCTTCTTAGGAGCAGTCTTGAAAGCATCAAGGGCCCTGTCTATACTCCCACACTTGCAGTACATATCTATGATGGCTGTCACAACTATTGGGTTCAACTCAAAACTATTCTTGACAATGTAACCATGAATCCATTCTCCTTGCCTGATTGCACCCAAACAAGCGCAGGCATTGAGTAAACTCACCATCGTGAATTCACTCGGCTTAACCGCAGCATCTTCTTGCATTTGCCCAAAAAGCTCCAAAGCCTCCACAAACTTTCCATTCCTCACATACCCACTTATCATCGAATTCCAGGAGATCATATTTCTCACAGGCATTTCATCGAATACCTTCCTGGATTCCTCAATTTCGCCACATTTAGCAAGCCCCATGAGCATTATGTTCCAGGTAACGGGGTCAAAATCTGGATGACGATCAAATATTCTCCCTGCTTCGCTCAAAAACCCACAATTCGCGTACATAGACAAGATGTTGTTTCTTACAAATGGATCATCTTGGAGCCCTGATTTAATTACTCTGCCGTGGAGCTGAGCCCCTTCATGGGCGAACCCAAGCTGGGAATAGGCCTTGAAAACGAAAGGGTAAGTCAGCCTTGAAGGTTGGACGAGCGAATTTACCAACATCTCGACGAAGAGGGTGATGGCAACTTCAGGATTTGAGCTGTTAGAGAAGCCTCGAATGATGTGGTTCCAGGAAAAGAGGTTGGACTTTCGAATGCGAGAGAAAACCGAGCGAGCGTAATTCATGTTGCCGGCGATGGGAGAGGTGCAGAAGGCCAGGACGCGACTGGCGGCAATTGGGTCATTGAATAAGCCGGTTTTGATGAGTTGGCAATGGATTTTGTGAAGGTCTTTCATCGTTGAGCAGTGAGTTTCGAGAAGGGTGAGGTTGGGCTGGTCAGAGATGAACTGCGATATAGAAGTTGGGGCCGGCGGCGGCGGAGATGGGCAGCAGAATTGTGCCATTCTCACTATTCAGTGGCTCCCGTTGTGTTTCCGCTTCTCTTCTTTGTTATCAATAGATTGCTTGACGTGACTATTTTCTAAAAGATAAAAAGTGGGTACGCTTTATTGCCAAAACTGCTATTTACTGTTTCACTTTTTGTCGTATTGTGCGTGTACCCCTCAGCGGCCTCCTCTGGCTTCACCTTGCAGCGACGAAATCTTGCTTCTAGAATTGCTGCCTGCCAGCCTCGACAGATGAAACCTTGCCCCTTTTCCGTCCACTCCACAATGCTCTCCGTACATCAAGTCCATGCCTTTACTTTTAGTCTTTTAGTCTTGGAGCTGGAAATCCGGAAGAGAACAACTTCTCGTCAGTTCGCCACTCCACTTTGCTTTCCCATACATCCAACCCTGTCTTCGTACTGTTTCTACAATGTTGTCCTCTCCCTACCAGTTGGCTACCATTGTACTTAGTGGGAGACAAATGGTTAACCCTCTTTTCCACTCCTCAATCCCCTCCTTCTCTCTTACAACAAAGACCCTAAAAGTTTCCTCGCTGCTGGTCGCTGGAACCCGAACCTGAATCCGAAAGCGGAGGAAGATGAAATCGATTTGGAATAGGACGACCAACGACGGTGACAGAATTGCCTATGATGGTGAGCCCTTACTTATCTGTCTTCTTTGTCGATATTTCAAATTTCAGCTTCTCGGTTTTGGACTCTAGCTGCAGAGCACGGCAGTAATAATGAAGATTCCGATGACATGGTTTCGTCGAGTTTTTATTCAAGCCCTATCCATGGATGAAGAACAGAAACTAAAGGTGGTGGTGATGATGGACCATCAGGAGGACGGGGTGAGAGTTGGTGGAATCTCCGATGTTCAGGATGGAAGAAGGGAGAAGCTTGCGGCGGCCAAGGAGGGGCGAAAGACCAGGAAGCACAAGAAAAGCCAACGAGAGCTATGCAGTTTCAGTTTAATTGCCGCCAAAAAACGAACTTGCTTCTCACTTTTCTTGATTTAACTGTTGCAGGCACATGCTAACCATGGAGCAGCAACAGCAAACATGGAAAGCGTGGGAAGAGGGAGGTGTAGGTTAGTTGTACTGATAAACTGAATATCTCTCTCTTTTATATTTTTGAATGTGTTGTGTGGGATTAACAGATGGCAATGCTAACAAGAGATGATGTGAGAGGGGGCAAGAAGGTGACAAAATTTCAACTTGGGACTGAAACCAATCAAATCTAAGTTACTACTGAAACTCAATTTAATATTTTTGTTTTGTTCTTCAATCTGTTCTGAAATTCTCAGTTTGTTCCTGTTCGCTTCGGTTCGGAGAAAAGCGATTGAATTTATGTTTTGCTTTCTAATCTCCCTTTGTTTGTGTTTATTATCGTTCTGTTTGTTGTTTGTGAACTCAATTTAGCGATTTAATGGTTTTTCCTTTTTGTTTCATACGCCAGAGAACCAGCAAATGTGAGTAACAAACTTATCGAGCTTTCCCTTCTTTTCATTATTTTCTTCGGTCTCTGTCTTATTCGACTATTGTGTGTTTACGGCTGTCTATAAATTGAGTTTCCTTATCCAAGCTCAACCAAAGATGATATTTATATGCGCAATCATGGCTCCTAGGAGTTCGTCTAATGAGCCACTTATGGGTTGTACCAAAATGTACACGTGGAATGCCACGTCAATAAATTAAAAATAATAATTAATAAATTATCCTTCCTCTCTCTCCTCTCTTCTCTTAATCTATTAAATAATTTATCACTTACGCACACAAAAATAAAACAAAAAAGGGAATCAAATTAAGCGTGCCCTTTCACTTTCCCCTTCCCATCTTCAGATCCTACCCCTCTTCAGATCCCACCCCCTTTCTCCAATCTTCTTCTTTTGCCGGAGGAAGGGTGCTCCAATAATTCCCAAACCAACAAGGGGAAAAGGGTCGGAGTCGTCTCTAATTCAAGCTCCTCTCCCGCCCAGCCCTTGGAAGACGGATTTCCCTTCATCGTCGTCTTCTTTCTGGAACTGAAAAGGATCGCAGCTCTGTTAAAAATGAGGCGAGGAAGATTATAAGGGACTGGGAAACCCCAAAAACCCTAATTGGCCAACTCTACTCTACAGAGTATTCATTGGATCCGAAGAAGAAGCTGCCAGCGGAGGAAGAATGATGAGGCCCACAAGCCCGCCGCGGAGCCAGAGGAGCAGGATATTTGGGTTCTCCATGGAGGCCGAGGAGGAAGAAGAAGTAGAAGAAGAGGAAGCTCCGTTTTGTTTCTCACCATCGAACCCGTCCTCCGTAGATGAACTGATTGGGTGAATCTCAAGGATTTGGAGTCGGTAGGTCGAGGAAAAAGAGGTCAAGATCGGATGGGTCGAACAGCGGCTTTCGACCATACTTGGCGGGATCCATTGCGAAGAGCGGTTGTTCACGGCGGCGGGTGGGTGGTGGTTTGTAGTAGTTGGAGAGATGAAGATGATGTTGATGGCGGCGGCAAACGAACCAAAAGAACCATAGGGTTTTCTTCTTCTTCGATTTAGGGTTGTGTTGCTGCCTGCTGGGTAATTGATGGGAGTAGGGGGCGATGAGGAAGGAGCAGGGGTGAACAATGGTGGCGGGTATGGGGGGTACAGGGAGGAAGATGAAGATTTTTGTGTAAAAAATTTATTTTATTTTTCATTTTATGAACTCAGAAAAATTGAATTTATGTTTTTTACATTTTTTTTAATCCACGTGTCCGTCGAAGTATTGTCAGGTCAGAATTTCCATCAGTCTAGTCAGAATGTTAAGTAACACCGTAAAAAAAATGGATGGAATTGGCTATTTTGTGTTTTCGGATAGTTATGGCTATATTTGTCACAAACATGAAAGTTATGGCTATGCAAGTGTATTTACCCTAAATAGATTCTAACTCAATGATTCTCACTTCTACTCCTGTCATCCAATCCTCAACACAAACTCAAAAATCAAACCTCTTAATAGACCCACAAATAAATAAAGGCTAATACCACTACAACAGCCGAACTATCGCGAAAATGTCACTTGTATCCTATTGTTTCCAATATTCCATTTGTTTCATGAACTATGATTCTGTTAGTGTTGACTTTTGTTGACCGTTGGTTTTTAACAGAAAATCTAGTCGGCGCTGATGTGGCATCTTCAGCGGTGATGTGGCATCTTACGTAAAAATTTTAATATTAGTTTTTATTTATTTTCCATCTAAATTAATAAAATTATAAAAGGAAAAAATAATTAAAAGCTCATTTCACAGACCCCTCGTCCCACTAATCCACTCTTCCCCAATTGCCAAAAATTAAACAGTGCTACAGATCCGACTTGGAAAAGTCTTCAATTTCCCCACCACGAGATCCGAAATCCCGGATCCAAATCGCCAAGAAGCTCTACTTCTGCCCAAAAACACCTGGGGTGGTTTGGATTCAGGTTTTTAATTTGAGGGATTTGTGAGAGATTTGGCCTCAAATTCCTCAACCAAAAAACTAGACATTTATGATTAAGGATTTGTATCAAATCTCTTGTTTGTTTAGAGATGTGGGGTTTTAATTAGAAAAGCCAAATTTCTATTTTACCCTTCTTTGTTCATCTTCTTCTCTGCCGCAAGCATCACTACGAGACTTTTCCGTCCATAAATCAAACCCATAAATTACCGGAAAAGGAGGATGTGCATCCCTTCTCATGCAATCCAGTCTTGTCCTTCTTCAAACTTCCACCACCGCCAACTCCCTTTTCACTACTGTCAAAATCCACCACCACCTCCAAATCTCTATTCCCATAGTCTCCTTCTCTACCCCCTACCACCACCCGTATCATGATTCATCTCCAAATCCATCCAAAACATAATCCTAACAAAGAAGAGATAACAAAACCCAATGTACCCAACAGCCTGCTCGAAACTGATCTCGCCACTCAAATACACATAGAACAACGACATAACTGCCCTTCTCGTAGATTTTCCCTTCACCCTTTTCCCTCTAATGGAGCGGCAACAGAGTCAAACCAACACCGCCCCAGAATCGTAGTCTGCAATTGGAGGACATGAGCGACATAACTGCTGACAGGCTAAAACACAACACCAAACTGCGACCAAGTGTAATCGCAGTCCGGAAATGTAGTAACATGCAAGCTCTAATTGCCAACCTGGGGTCTAGATTTACTGCCTACTCCGTGAATATCTATTATCTAGCCAACTAAGTCAAGTGATTGTTGATTTAAGTAAAAGCAGTAAGAAAGCAGGAAATGGTTCGGTTTTTTAAAGCAAAGGAAGAGTCACTCGGGAATGAGTCCCCCTAGCTCCTTAGTTAGGTCACAGTTGTAATTAATTTTGGTTGCTTTACTGCTGATTATACTGCGGAAGATCCGACAGTAGCTTGGAATCTCTTAAGCTGACCAAGCCCTCTCAGTCAAACTACCCGGCAGACGACTAGTCTTCACCGGGATAGAACACTGAGGCAATGAACACAGAACTCCACTACTGGAATTAGATTCCAATACAAAGCAGTGAATCGACTAACTCTCGTATAATCGATTCACTACTACCGATTGAAGAAGCTCTAACAACCTAATCAGATTCTGTCTATCTCAGGTTGCAGCAGAAATCAATAAAAGGTGATCAGACTTCAATTGACTCAATCAAATCACTTCAATCGATTATAATCAAGCAATATCACAATCCAAAAGTCGTTACAACAATGATCCCTAACACATAGAACTAGGGTTCTTCATACCCAAGTGAGATAGGGTTCTACTCCATAGAGAGAGAGAGAGAGGAAAACAACAAACAAAGCAGTCATACTCATCAAGATGGGAAGAATCTGCTCTAGGATGATGATCTTCACTCCAAGGATGATTTCCATGCTTGATTGATGAAATCCAGCTCCAAAACCACTCTTAGGGGGTGTTCTTCGCACTTTCTCTCTCTAGGGCTCTGTTTTTGCTCCAAAAAGTCGATCTCCTCTCCTTTGGCTCGAATTGGGGTAAAAACACAGAAATTCCCGACCACACGGGC